GGTGACGCGGGCCCCACCCTGCCCCGGGCCCCCCCCCGCCGCCATGTTGGACACTGCGGTGCCGCCCGCAGGTGAGGTGATCCGCGGCGCGGGCCGGGTGCGGGCAGCGCCGCAGGTCCCGCCCCCTCGCGGCTGAGCGGGAGCTAAGCAGGGCCGGGCGCGGTCAGCACGTGGATGGGAGACCGAGGGGGGAGAATCAATCCGTGCCCGTGCAGCCCTCAGCGGCCTTTCCCCCTCTTGGCTGGGATAAGGCCTGCACAGAGGTGGGCAGTAGCCCCCCGCCCGTTTTGTCCCTGGTCATGTTTCCCTGCCCCGTCTTGTCTGGTGTCGTGAGAGGCCGCACTGGGTGCGTAACGGTGTCCTGGATCCGTGCCGGGAGAGACCTCCCTCTCTTGCTGCGGGGGTGTCTCGCTGTGCGCGTGTCACCGCTGACTCCCCGTCCCTCCCTGAGCGCTACCCTGGCCAGCGCCGAGCACTGGTGTGAAGGGGCGCGGACGTTGCCATGGCGATCGATGGCTCTGAATTTAGACAACCAGCGCGGGTCACACGCCGCCCCCTCGCTTTCGCCCATCCGGTCCCAAAGATAGCGCGGTGAAGGGGATGAAGTACGGCCCCGTGCATTCGGACCGGAGGTTTGTTGCGGGGCTGGTAAAGCCACGCTCAATAGTAAGACTTGTCGACAGGAAAACCTTTTCCTGGACGACGGCGGCGGGGGTCGGAAAGCCTCTTCCCCCCTTGGGTGGAGGCCTCAGCCCCCAACGCAGGATCTTGCGCGTCTGGAGTAGTTATTTATACGGGCTCGTTACATTTCCGCTACAAGAAAACATCACCTCTTTGTCTCCCTCGTCGCTTGCCCAGCGCGTGAAGTTTTGGCGCAGGGAATCGGCACGCGACGGATGCCGTAAGATTTGCCTGAAAACGCCGTTACTTGCAACTGAGACACGAGCTGTGGGACGTTGAACGCCTTGTTTTAAAAGCCCTAATAGCAAAGACTAGATCGAAGGGGGGGAAATAAACATTAGAACGATAACATTTTCCAGAAATTAACATGCTGTCAGATTGCTTTATTTAGAGAACAAGGTAGTAGTATAGTACGTGCAAACTTATAAATGATTAATTCATCATGTTGTCAATTAAGTAACTTAATATAGTTATTAGGTAATTTGCCCATTTAAAAAAAAAAAAAAAAATCGACTGATTGAGCAAACTTTCAGCATTTTGATTATAAGCGTGGCGTGGCGTACGGTCTCATACAGCTCATGCATGAGCGTACTGGTAGGCAGCGTTAAAGCAATACAATCAAAATATTAATCACAGTTGGATAGCATGCTATGAGTATCTTAGTTTCTAAACTGCAGTGTAATCACCAAAATTAACATTATTTTTGCAGCTACATATGGCAAATAATTTCTAATTGTTTTTAAAGTGCATCTGACAGAAACGCTAATCAGGAAAATTAGTATCAGTTGAATAGAAAAATAGACATAAGCAGCCAAGAAACATGATGGCAGTTCCCTGAAAGGGCATTGCCATACATTTCCAGTCAAGTGATGCTCTTTAAGGTCCCGATCCGGCAAACATGAGTAACTTACACGCGTAAATGTCTGCAAGATCGGAGATGAAGCTTGTTAGTTCACGTGAGATCATATGCAAATTTGACTGATTTTAGTGTTTCCTGGTTTTGAAAGAATAGTACGGTGACTAACCTAGTTCCCAAGGTAAATTATGCTAATTGCTTCCCGGTAGGCATACTGCTAGCAGAATTATTTCAGAATGCAAAGAAATAGCACTATGTCAGAAATCACCTTAAATTCAGGGAATGAGTATTTGTAAGAATTTAGGTGCAGCTGAGTATCACGCAAACTTGTGTACTAGAGGTGCAGTTTTGCCCTCAACTTCTTCTTTGAGGATACTTGACACCTCTTGGAACTGGGTTCTAGAGTAGCATGTGGGAATTGAACAGGTACGTGCTGAGCAGTTTTTGAGGTGCAAAGTACCATTAACTTCCATTGACTCGTGAGAGCACTGAACACATAGCAGGCAGTGGGTGAATAGTACTTACAGAAAAAAGTACTGCTTAAAGAGCAACAGCACTGATCACTTCTTGAAGCCAAATGATGTGTGGTAGCTCTTTGATGCCAAAGAGTTACATGCTACTCTAAGTATTTTGGATTTGTGCTAATCAGCTTTTAAAATCATAGAGACATAGGAAGTAGAGCTGGATTTTTATATGATTTTATTTGAAAATGATACCTGAAAATATGGATTCCTGTTTGATAATAGGGAAACTTTTTCTTTTTCTTTCTTTTTTTTTTGGCAGAATTTCATTTACAACAAACTTTTTTCTTACTTTCAGCAACATCGTTAAGTGTCTCATTGCTTCCTTGAGCTGCTGAAATTATTTTCCAGCTGTGAAACATCTGCAAGAATGTTCAAAAATGAATATCAGGTAAAGCAGCAATAGCTATTCTTTCTGTTTCACCCATGGAAGAAATGAATGGAAGCTACAAACTGTGGAGCAAAAAAAGTGTTGTTGAAATTTTCCTGGATATGTAATCATTCAGTATCTTCTAAACCCTATTTGCAAATATGGAAGTAATTTTCAATGTAACTGTCAGTAGTGTTCAATATAAAAATATACAAGTTCGATGTTGCAGGAACCGTAGTTCATGCCGCAGTCCTCTTACAGGCAAATGGTTCCATTAACTTCAAGTCTCTTGTCTGCAGTGGGTTTATTCCCCCCCATTTCATCCCTTATTCATTCTAAAGAAAATTGGGCCGGTGGTTTCATGAAACACCACTTTGAATCTTTACTGAATTTAATGATGAGTTAATGGGCTTGTTGTTTGGTTGTAAACCTTTACTCAATTCTGTGAAGGTGCAAAGCTGGCATTCTTGGAGACCATCAGTTAAGTGCTTTCATGGAATACTGGGGGAAAAAACAAACCCTCCACAATATCAGCTGTATTCATTTTACCTTTTTATTTAGGTTTTTTAGCTGGGTGTGACTCAGAAAAATCCTTTTTTGTCTGAGTTGCAGAATTAAACACGTCTCTATAAAGCCATTCATCTGTTGCTTATTTAATTTTTTTTTACATGCCATGTAACTTTTTGCTCTTAAAAGGATAAAATAGTAAACATAATTGGTGTTTCCTGACTATAGCCATGGTGCATTGGCTTTACTTAAACATCAGTTTAAATATACAGTCAAATATTGAATGTAAAGTGTGCTGTTTTTTGATTGATTAGAAGCTGGGATTAAGATTGGCATCAGAACTGTGGGCAATAATATTTATATTGACTGTGGTTAGCCATTGTTTGGCAGTTTGCCCTCATATGTCCAGCTTTTATCAGACTCTGCTCAGTGATGAAGCCATGTTCAACACTTGGATGGGGCGATGGATCTTTAAACTGTTTTTTTCACAGGGTGGCCCGTTTGTTGAAATATTCAGTGCACAAGGCAAGAATCCAGGAGCAAAATGGAAGATCTTTGGCAGCCCATCAGCAATTTGGAAAGTAAGTTTTAGGGGAATTTGTAGGTCCCAGAGTATAAAATATCCAATAATGTACTTGGAGTTCAAAATTAAAAGGTAATGAGGGCTTTGGCCTAAGTATAGAAAAGTTGTCACTTGCACTTCCGTCATGATGACAGAATAAATGACCACTTAAATTTGCACTGTATGCCTATTTGCAAATCGGATGAGTCACAGCTGCAGTTTTGTAGCTGAACTATTTCTAGTAGGAAAAAAATGAAGTAGTTCTGTTATTCTAATAACTCTTGAGTCAAGTCTGGGCCAGTGGGTCACGAATTTGACGCATGTCAACACAGTCTATTCACAAAATATATGAATAAAAGGCACGCTTTATGGCGTGTTTTTTTTCTAACATCTCTTAGTTGTTCTGCGATTGACTGCCATGTATCATAGCGTAAATCCTGTTTGTCTAGAAAATAAAACTAAGCTAACCTTACATGTTGGCTATATGTTATTGCGGGGATGGCACTTGCTTTCTTCAGTGAGGAGGCAGCTATTATGTTTGTTTTGTACACTGTCCTGTTTTTGTAGGAGTTTGATAAGGAGGTCAAAGGCTTTATCTTTGTACTTGAGGGAAGCAGTCAAACCAACAAGATGCAGTTACCAAAGGAAGCGAGACAGACTCGTAAGTATCAAAACATTAAATATTTGAGATGTTATTAAAACTACTAAACCTATCTGCAATACTGTCTCTTAGTTTGGCCTCTTCTACTGTCAGTTAAATAAATGATGTCGCTGTTCAGCAAGGCAGTCATTACCAGTGAGCAGAAGGTTTAGAAATGCCACACACAATTAAGCATTTTGTGGCAGGAGTAAATTGTTACAGCTCCATTGTTATCACTTCATTTGTTCCATTCCTGACTCTTATTGTCTGACCTTGGGCAAATAACTTAGGGTCCAATCCAGTGCTCATTGAAAGCTGCAAGTTGTTCAGTTAGTGCTAAATGGGATCCTTAATTTATTTAATTTTATTCTTTAATATTGTGATATTTTACCCACTTCAGAAATGTATAGTGGCTTTATGGTAAAGGCCATTGTGAAAGATGCTATACAGACCAAGGATAAAGTATTATGTTGGTCGCTTCTGATTTGCTTTTTACAGAAGAAATGTCTAGACCACTACACTTTTAAAATTAGAATAGAAAATAGGAATGGATGAAAAGTTTTTCAACAGCATGAAACTGCATTTTTACATAACTTCTCACTTTTTAAAAGTACTAAAGTAACTCTCTCATGGGTTCAGGGATTTTGGCAAGCAATTTTACAGACACATATTTGTCTTCTGGCAGCTAGTCCTCACCTGGGGTAGATTGGCATCGTCCCATTAAACTCAAGGAAAAAATTCTGACTTACATTGTCTGGAATCTGATCTTAAATCATATACCAAATATATCTGATTCTGACTTGCATTGTTTGGTCTGAGATTTACCACTGAATAAACCCAAACTGATCATCACAACTTTGGCTACTAAAATGTTCATATCTGTGTATAGGGATTTTGTCCTACAGATTGAACATCAGCTGAGGCCCTTTTCTTGTAAGCTGATTCATAAGGACTGACCCATGTACCTGTTCAAAGGGCAAGTGGATCCTAACACATTATCAACACTAACAGACTACAAATATACTTTATTGTCTAAAGGTATCACTTGCATTTTCCTCCCATAACTAGATTTTTTTCCTATATGTATCATTCTGTGGGTGGTACAATACCACTGTCACCTAATTTAATAAGTATTTAGAAATGTTGTCTCGTGAAGTCTCTGACAAGCATATATTCACTTTTCATGTTTCTTTTATTACCATGTTCATCCTTCAGGGAGAAAAAACTTCCTTTGTGTGGAGGGTGTTATAAAGCTCCTAGCCCCACTTTAAGCCACGGTAAGGACTGTTAAAGGTTCAGTAGCAGAGCCCCTGCCAAAGGGTAAATCCCTTATGTGGAAGTCACACCCCCTTCCAGTAAGTCTGTGGCTGAACTAGAACTTGAAGTCAGGTCACTCAGATCCCCATCCATTTCCCTGTCTCCTAGAGCAGTTGGGTCCAAACTTTTTAGGAGGTGTGCCACAAATTGGCTGCACAGCCTATTTGAGTGCCACTCTGATCCTCATGCCCTGACGATTAGCTGCTCTGCTTTCTGCTCTCTGCTGTATTTGCCCCTGTGCTGCCTGTCCCCTCTCTGATCTGCTGCATGCCACGCACAGAGGTTGTCCATGCCACTTGTGACACCTGTGCTACAGGCTGGCCATCCCTGCCCTATACCAAAGATCAGCAACCTATAGCCTGTAGGCCACATCTGGCCTATAAAATCGGGTATCAGCAGCATTTTGGTGGCAGAGCAGATTGGTGGCATTTCAGCAGCAGGCAACTCACATCAGTGGCAACAGTGAGGAGAAGCAGTGGCACCAGTGTTGGAAGGACTGGGCTGCATTACTTTGGCCTGCTGTTCCCAAACAGGTTGCCAACCCCTGCCCTAAACCATCCTTCCTACTATCTTAATTTTTGGTGTTAACCTGAGTCAGAATGTGCTAGGCCTTTAGATTCCAGAATGAATTTGGAGAGTTAGCATTTAGAAAGGTGGAAAGACTGGGGACAAAGGCAGAGGTGGCAGAGCCTTCCTGGAAGAACCTTGGTGTTTAGGACTTGGGCCTCTGACCATCATTTACTGGGTGGGCCCCTCTTTGCTGTTCTTAAGACCAGGCTGCAGTCTCCTCACATGTCAGTCTCTTCCTAGTAAGTCTGGCCTCATTGCAGAACTTTCTCCTCTTTGAGAAATAGTGACAGTGACCAGTCAGCTATCACGAAGCACAATGCCATTTATTGTTTGGGGACTCTGAATTCTGTGACAGGTCATGTCCCTCAACTTCTGGTAGCCTGCCAGAGTACCAGCAGGCAGGATGGAACAGGTCCCGGGGCTGGATCAGGCCTATGGGCCGTGTTTGACACTCCTCCTGTAAAGCAATATTTTACATCTGTGCTAAACGTTCCAGATATTACCCATTAACCTCAGGAGATCCTGGCAGTTACAGATGCCACCTCATCAGGTCTTTGTCCCAGTCTGCATGTCCCTTGACCTTGGCTCAGGGTTGCCTCTTTAAATCCCTCTCTTTTGTCCACTTCTGTATACCAGGGCAAACCGGTGTACTCTGTTTCCCCAGGAGGCAAAACTTTCCTAGACTTGTTTATCAGCCATGGGATTTGCATTAGTTACCCCTTGCTGAGCCAGGAACACAGAGCTACATAAGACTTACAGCAGCCATACAGTCATCTTTTTGAAAATTCAGTGTGTTCAGAGCATCTACCACATCTCAATATAATAGTCTTTGAAGTTTCTGTGCTTCCAAGGTCTTGCATCTGTCACACCTAGGAACACGGCAGCCTCAGGGGACAACTTTGCTAAGGTTTGTATTTTGCTATTTAAGATGGCAATAGACAAACTGGAAAGAGTAAGTTTGTTTTTTTTAATGCAAATCCTGTATATGTAAAGTGAGTTGATAGAGCAGGATGGGGGCTTGGGTCATTCATATAGATGTTAACTAATGGTCTCCTATACAATGGTTGTACGAATGTTTATTGTATCATTAAATATCTTCTGTGGGAGCTGTAATAACAAATGAAGCTATAGCAATGAGTTACCGAGTATTTTCATAAGGAAATAGTTTTCTGTAAATTATGCAATTTTTCATGTGTTTAAAACATTCTTTAAAATTATTGCTGCACTTATTCGTCTTCCTGGTAATGATTTTTTCCCTCCCCCCAAAAAAGTCCTTACGGAGACCTAGAAATTGGATCCTTTTCATTTCAACACAGTCATAGTTTGGGAAAGACAGTAATAATATTTGAAAGAATACCCGACTCTTCTGCCAAATAAAACTGGCACTGTAACAATCAGAAAAAGTCTGCCCACGCTTCAGGCATGGTTATGTGATCAGTTGTCTGATCAGCATTATGGATTGTTTTCCACTATTGTCTGTTCAGGCAGCACTCAAACTAAATTCAGAGGCAGCTTTTTTCCTACAGGCACACCACTAACCCGACTACTTGTATCTGAAACTCTGTGGCAAGATGTTATGCCTGTATAAGGCTTATTGTAATGAACCGAGCTACATGTGATTTAACTGCTTGCTTTTTTTTTTTTTTTTTTTTTTTTTTTTTAACTGTGAGACAGTTAGTTATTTTAATTGGGTCAAACAGAGGAATCTTCTAATATATTTCTTGTACAGTGTCTTGTAATTACAAATTAATTTAACTTTTCTCAAGCATACACAACAAAGTAGTAAATGAGAAATTGTGAAGTCTGGTCCTGCACTAATGATTTAAAGATTAATTATTCTGATTTTGCAAAGGAAATTCAGCACTATCTTTAGTATTATAAATATTACACTAATGAATCTTTATAAGAAATCCAACTTAAATTTTTTATTGGCAGTGCTAAAATAAACTGTTGCGACTTAAATTGAAGATTAAGAAGTAATGCATTGTGGAATCTCTGGGCTAAAAATAGATTTGGTTCTAAATTAACTCAGTATTAGTGTTGTAATGTTGTTTGCAAATTTCCATCTGTTATCATTCTCTCTCCTTTGGGGTATGTGCTGCAAATATTTCAAATGTTGGTAAACTGAATTCAAATATACAAGTTGCCAGTAGCACTGAAAATTTTGCCATCTTTCCTTTATAGTGATCTAAAAACTTGCGAACATGGCATTTGATTCCTTCCCTACACCACTAAAAGGAAAGTCACGGATGGAAGCTTGTGAGACTAGCTGGCCCAGATTAGCCACTTTTCCCAATTAGTCATCATAAACTTTTCACAAGGATTTGCAGACCCTGGCCTCCATCTTTGTCTCTCTCTGCACTGAATGTTGTTCTAAGTGTCTCTGGCCCTTCTCTTCCAATGACTCCACTATACAGGTGCTCATTTCCTGAGTATATGTACACGCTGCGCCCCTCCCCACCCTAGCTGAAGGACAGTCGGAGTCTTTGACCATTCCTTTCTAGCCACCTTTAAGGTAATTTATCACTCCTTTACTGTAGCACCGAGCCCTGTAACAGGGTTGCCATGGTCTTCCTGTCAGGATCTACTGCTAAGGTCTTTCAAGACCCGGCTCAGATGATGCAGAATGCTATTAACTTGTGACGTGCAGAAATGTGCATTATATGGCTTTCTTTATCTTAACAGAAGGCGAACATTCATTCACCCTTACATCAGGGGTACCCTGTTCTTTCTGTCTGTTTATTCCCTAAAGCCCTTTCCAGGGAATGTTTCAGGGATATATTTGGTAGCCGTGTTTGTCTAAGACAAAAAGATGAAACATGGAAGATGCCAAATTTTAGCTGATTTTGGAATTATAAACTTCATTGCTGAACAACAAAGAAAGATTTCTCTTAACTCCCTGCCTTTCTGCCATCTGACATCACTGGGGAAGGAATCCTGCCTTATGTGCACATCAAAGAGCAACTCACACAAAGAAAGTCTCATGGACCCAGAGGGACAGATATTTACCTTCAGCTTCTTCTGTGCAAAATGAAGTTTATTTTCTATCTATGGGGGCTTTAACCATCTTTATTTTTCCCTAAGCCTGAGGAAGGGCACGTGTGCCTGAAAGCTTGCAGCAAAAAGATAAATGTTTTGCAATTTCTTAGTTGGTCTAATAAAAGTTATCATCTCTGAACCAAGAGTTTAGAGTTCTGCATTCCTTTTTGTCTCAGACCAACATGGCCGCCAAATACATCCCTACTTGCACAGAAGCATCTGTGTATTTCTGGAAGAGTAATACTGAGTGGAGAAGAGTACTTTGCTGCATGTTACTGAGAGATTTTATTTTGTTGCTTTGTAAGTTAAAGTCAAAACTTTAATACTGCAAAACTATAATGGACCATTCTGGTCTCAATGGTCGAAAGGTGGGAATGGTAGGTCTTGGGCAGCCTCCACTGTATCAGCAGAACTTGCTATAAATACGTAATATTTTCATAGGGCTCTAGGGCTGAAATGGGCGTTGTTGGTCTTTAAGCCCTGTCCATTGCTGTCATGGGCATCCATGACATACAACACCTTTCATAAACTGATCAACTTCTCTGATAATTTGAAACCTAACTTCTAGCATAAATGTATTCAGGGCACTTCATGTGTAGTAGGCAACTGTCAATCCTTTGGATCATGGTGTACATGTAAGAGGTCTAGTCGGATGCTTGATGAATTCACTTGTACCAAGCCCTGCGACTATCACACCACAGGACCTTCAATGTCTAGGCAAGAGTATGGAGGAGTGGAGGCTGCCCAAGACCTACCATCTCCCCCTTTAGACCATTGAAACCAGAACCCAAAGACCAGACCTAGTCCAGATGTTCAGTGCCTTGATGGGTGTAGGTTCTGCTAGAGAGCAGCAGATAAGAACTAATAACAGATCAGGTCTAATGCCTTAGTAAGGGCATGTTTCTGTCAAGGTGATGTCCCTTAGCCTTTCTCCAACCAAGGAGTACCTACAAGGCAGGGGGGCTAGGGTTGTGAGGTGCCCTATACTCACTGGCTGTATTTTGGAGGTTGCAACATTATGGTATTTAATAGGAGCTACCCCTTCACCAGTAGCCCCACCACACTGCCCCCAGGCTTACCATTAGGATGCAGTTTACACAGTCATACCTGGGACCAACTTCATATGTAGATAGCAACAAACCAGCATAATCCTTACAGAACCAGTGAGAGGTAGGTACTGTTACAGGTTGCTTATTTATGAATTAAACTGAGATGCTAAAAGGTTACGTGACTTGTTAAAGTGCATGCAGTAGTCAGTGGCCTAGGAGTAAAGACTGGCATAACAAAATCAAAATGTTGGGAGTTAAAGCTAGAGAAACTCATTTCACATTTTAGAGCAATTGACTGCTGGAACAAATTCACAAGTTGTGTGATGGACTCTCCGTCACTAGAAATTTTCACAAGAAGTTTGGATAGCTTTCTACAAGATACTCTGTAACTCAGCCAGAACTTATGGACATATTGCCAGAACTGCTTGGTGAAATTGTTTGGCTCACATTTTTATCAGGGATCAGAATAGGGGTGCGTCTGTCTGCACTTTACACTAGCTTGCTCAGGAGCTGCTGTAGTACAGAGCTCTGCACAGGCTACAGAACCTGCCCAAGATTCTGCAAAAAAACTTGGGTAGCTACCCAATGCTCAGCTCCACGCTGCTGCAACTGCTGTTCGCAGTAACTAAGCCAGCTAATTTACCTCTAGCCGGGATAATGCTCTGGCTAGCTCCGAGATGTTGCTTTGATTTGTTGCTGTAAACTAAATAGTGAGCACTGGAAGAACTGTTGTCTTAAGCTCTGTGGTTGAACTTTTTTTGTAAATTGGGGGGTGACCAGTGGTAGCACAGGAGCCAGACAGGTAAAAACAAAGAGCTGGTTTGAGCTACTGCTCAGCGGGTTTGAGCTTCTGTGTGGATGATCAGAGCTCACACAGCCCTCCTGAGACTCATGCGGCACTTGAGGCTAATGTTACTTTCTAGGCCTAAATCTCCACAATTCCATAAGGAGGCAACTGCCTCCCTTACTGAATTAGTAAGAACAAATAACAAATTTGGACTTGAACTGTCTGGTACTTGTAAGTATATGGCTTTTCCTGCACAGGGAATTGGCAGGACCCTATTGTTTGCTCTTCCAGTTAAGCTGTATTTTTACTGCCTTAAGCATGTGAATTAGATCTACCTCATCAAAGCCTCAGTTGCCCACAGTTGTCATAATCTGGATTGCATTTTTGATAGATTGTTTTTGATTAAGTTCTTTAATAAAGTTTAAACTGTCTCAGCAATGAGAATAAGTTCCACATGCTTTTATGCAACATTGGTGTGAATCCATTGTTTTTGTTTTATGTGTCTTCCTGGGATACACTGAGTTTACATATGTTCACAACACAAGGAAGAACTGTAAACAGAAGAAAAAAAATAGTCCCTTTGTTTTCCTAAGAATTTCACCAAAACCACAACTGGGACTTTTAAAACGGCACATTTATTATGGTTTGATTTGGTTTTCTTCAGTTCTTTTTTTCATTTATGTTGTGTGAACCTGGGGAAATAGTTTTACAGCAGTATGCCTATACATCTTTGAAATGTTAAATGGCAATTCTTTGTGGAAGTATATCTTTAGTTATATGTATGTATTTTTTCCTCTTCTAGTTGGACTAATCCAGCAGTTTCTGGTACTTCAGATTTATGTACCATTGGGACAAGACTTCTCCACTGAATTACTGTAAGAAATGTAGAACGCCCTAATATATTTTATGTATAGTAGACACTAGATCAATTGAACCACTATCAGAAGCTATTAATAGCAAGTAGTAGATTCTGTATTAAAGATTTTGTATCAAGTTAACCTGAAGTAATTAAGCTAATTTGATGACACCTCTATATTCTGGTATTCCTCTGGGGAAAGGAAAGAAAGCAAGTTCTGTTAACAAGAGTTAAAATAATGGAAACATACAGAGCAGATGGGGATCTAACCATATGAAAGGTACATAAATGGGAAAAGTGGTGCTTGATATTCCTCTTGACACGTAGGAGAGAATCAGAAGTGGTACACATTAAATTAGTCTCCCCCAGCTGGGGAAAAGAGAAATCTGTTTAGTTTAAAAACATTTTTTTGTACTTCAGAGGGATTAAAAATAAAAAGGTGCTTGACTTTAGTAATTTGTTCAATTGTTCATGTAAATCAATAATCTAGTACATTGGCACTTTCAGACGATTCATAAACTTTTCCAATGTTGCCTATTGAATTGTCACTGGCTGTGGTTATCTATTGAAGTTGGATGGTGAACTTGACACAGATTTACTAAACTAATCTGTCTCGGGCTAAAAGAATATTCTTTTTTTCTGCAAACTGATTATTTACCTAGAAATTGGTGAAGGAAACAGAGGAGAAGCTTTCTTCTTCGTGCCATTTCTCTCAGCTCACAAGGTAGCTCTACAACTAGACCACTAGTCTGAGATATCACATCATCATTAAAGGGAATGCTTGCTTAGGCCAAGGTTTAGTGGATAATTCTGAGGGCCCTTCTATCCACCGGCCTGTTGCCAAGATCTAAAACAAAGAAAAAGCTGTCTAGGACCAAGACCAAAGCTACTCTTCACAAAATAGGTTTGATTTATAATAGCAAATACATCATATGCAATATCAGACTTATTATATTAGTATAGCTCTGGGAACAGCATAAGAGATGCTGTTACACAACAAGCCTATGTCTGTAATACTGCAAGATCATATCTGCCAAATGGAAAAAGATGACAACTTTGTTATGAAATTTCATTTAAGTTTCTTTAGGGGAATTATAACCAGTAGAGAGGTTGTAACAAGGCATGTGTGTCTATCCCTGTTTGGACCCTAAATCAACTCGACTCTGTCCAAGACTGTTGTCCCCTTTCCCTATCCCAAAGAAAGGATTGTCTGTCTTTTTCCAGTCTGGTTCTAAAGAGGCTTACTGACCTTGAAACAGAACTTATGTACTTTGTCCCTAGATAATATTTAAACAAAAATGTGGATTTTATTCACTCACATCAATAATAAAGTAGTAAACACAGACAACAAATGTGTAGGCATATTGCAAGCCCAAGACATTTCAAAAAAGTTTAGATGAATAATACAAAATTATGTCGCTTGTATGAACAGCTCATGGTAGATGCTACCGAGTTCCAGAAGCTGGAGGCAGAATTCTGAAGTGATGATTCTGAAGAAAAGTCGAGCAACAGCTTCCACGCATTTGTTACTTTTGGGATTTGCTTTTTGTCGTTTTGTTTTGTTCGTAATGAACTAAAACATTGAGGGATTTCTGTAGCCTAATTTATTCCCTGAGGGATGGAGACCTATCAATTTTTCTTCAGTGCATTTTCACTTGCAAGGCCCTGAGCACAGAACCAGATTTGAAAGCCACATGTGTTCTGGGCTGCTCTGAAGTCAGTTTTGCTTGTTAGGACTCCAAGTGTGTGTCTTCTGAAACAGTTACCCTAGAACTACAGAAAAGGCTAGTTCTAATTGGTCTGTGACTATGAACTGTTCTATCCATCTCTGCTTTAACACTAGCAAAGCTACATATTTTTGGTATGTGGTAAAGACTACAACAATACACCTCTGAGCATGTTTCAATAATATCTGTAGCCAACATGCCTGATAGCCAGTTGCCTTTAGAGACTTTCTTGCTTATGACAATTTTCCTGAGACTACAAAAAAAGGTCTGGAAAAATTAAACAGTAGGCCTCCTTTCTTGAATTCATATTCCCCTATTCCTATTCTTGGGGTTTGAATTTATATTTTTAGTGCAGTTTTGAGACAGTGTGGGGAGTGGCTCCCCTTTGTGGGCCACACAGGCATCACCCAGCCAGCCGGATGGGAGAGATGGGGGAGGAAGGAGTTTCCACGCGGCAGCAGCTGGCCGCCGCCGCCGCCACTGCATTGATGCCGATAACCAGAATTTTTACATAACCAGCACCCTCCTTACCCCACTCGTGCCAGTTAACACAGCTTCTACTGTAATAAGTAGAAATAAAATACGAGAACCTGCCTCTTGTGGTGGTAATTAGAATTTGAGACTGTAACAGGCTTACAGTCCTGACCAGGTCTCTACCTCCAGTCTTCCCCCGTCTCTGGGCAATTTGCCTGGTCCACTCTCCTGCCATGCCTTGATGAAAATAAATTTCAGCTGTTACTTGAGCGGAGGACTACCTTTTGTATGCCCTGATGATTAGGGCCATAAGTGCACGCTTTGACCACCCCCGTACATGCCCCAAGCCTTGCAGATGTTCCATGTGCAATACCTCTCTGGCCTAGGTCCGGAGCAAACTGGGCACACAGTTGTAGCTCTACCATACTACCCTGGAGGGCCACTCTCACACCACCCCTCTCTCACTGGGGTCCCATTCACTCCGCCAGCTCTCACCCAGCCTCTTTCATGCTGCCCACTCTCCTGGGCCACATTCATACCACCTGGTCTCACCCAGCTTCCGGCTTGTCTCTCCACACCTCCGTCAGCCCCAGTGCAGTTTGTCGGGCATCTTCCACTGCCCTCATGTGAGCATTTTCTGAGCAACTCTACAACTATTAGCCTACTTTGCTCCTGGCCCCGCACCAGGCCTCCATGCCCCCACTGGGTTTTTTCCCTCTTCACTATGCCCCTCTTAGGGCCTCAACTCACTTGCCCGCTCACAGGACCTCTCTCTCTGTCACCCATCTCTCACTGGGTCTCTACTCGCACCTCCAGGCTTTACCCTGCTGCCTGGGCGCAGCTCTAGGTCCCTCCTCTGGCCTGGACTCTGCCTCCAGGCTCCTAATGAACCTGGGCTCTCCCTGCTCTGCTGGAACATCACCAGGGCTGTGGGGCTGTGGTTATAAGGTGCCCTTTTCTACCTTTCACTGGGGAGGTAACTGGCCTGGCATTTCCTGGAGGCTCCCATGCCACTAGGAGCCCCACCCCAGCAGGTGCAGTTTCACATCTTACCCAGAACAACAGAAGCCTTCACCTCCCCATAGCCCCTTTCCTTACCTCCAGGTCCTCAAGCAGGAGCTCAGTCAGCTGATGTTGCTGCTTCCCTTGCTAGCAGCCAACTGCCCTCTTTATATAGCTGGCCTTTGAAAATGGCTGCTGCAATCAGCCACCTGGTGGCTGCCTGCTCCAGTCCTTAAAGTGACAGGCACCAAAGATGCACTGCCACAGAGACCCTGCCAGATAGCAGGGATTGGCCCCAGAGCCAAGTTGGAAGAAAAACTTCAGACCTTCCGTGCTTTTGTTTTAACTTTGTCCGTCCTCTACTTACCTGTGGCTCTTTATCAAACCTTTTCATACATGCTAGCAACTCTTGCCTTCAGTCTTCTTCACTGCGGGTATTTCTCCTTCCTGGCTCTCTTCACTTCTCAACAATTTCTACCATCCATACCTACTTCTTCCTCAACTGTTTATTCAGCCTGGAGCCATGGTTCAACTCTCCCACTTAACAAAAGAGCCATTCACTAGATATGATCTTCCCCAAATACTGTTCACATGTGTACTCACTCACATACTTATGTGCATATGCAGTTGCTCTTTCTTTTTCCAGTTATCACCCGATCTCTTGTAAGATCATCTCTTAGTCCTTGTCCTGTGACTCAGCCCATTGGCTGTGACTTCTGGTCCAGACTGACTTTTCTTCTACTCTAGTTCTATTCCAGACAGTATCCAATCTGGCTCCCCCCTGCTCTCCACTGAAATGGCTCTCCACACCTCTGTGGTATGGCCTTTCCTTTCCATCCACGCAGCTAAAACGTTCAGCCAAATTCCTTCCATCTTGCCTATCAGTTACTGTCACATCCTTTTCAAATACAGTCTTGCCCCACTCTCATTCATTCCAAATGCTGCTGCAACAATATACGTCTAGCCTTCTTCTTTGACTTACTAACCTCTCTTTGAATCCCCCCCAATTGTTTCCCTTTCTTTTGTAACTCCGAACATCAGGTGTTTGTCTTCAATAACCGTGCCATCACCCTCCTTGCCCTGACCTGTCATTTCTGTCACTGTTGCTTTTGTCATCTCCTGCCTCAGATCAGCCAGTGTTACCTATCCCCACTGCCCAGCTGTTAAATTTCCAAACAAATACTTTCATGCTTTTTCTCTTGCTGTCCTTCCTCCCTGGAATGACCTCTTTGTGAACAACTGTAAAGCTACTCATTATCCTCCTCCAAAGGCTTCTTTTTTGCTATGATGTGTCCAAACAATTGGAAAGTATAGGTTGCTAGTGAATTGATACCGCCACAGTCATCCGTTGTATCTCATCTTAGATCGTAAGCTATACGGTGCAAGGACTGTCCTTTTTGTTTTACAGTTTGTTCAGTTTTCTGTTTCTGGCAATGAAAAGACTGTCTCTGTACAGTCTGTCTGCGATACACTTCCTTCTTTTCATTTCACTTTTTTTTCTTTCTGAGATTTTCCACACTTCACCCCTTAAATGGAACTGCTGACAGAAGATTGTTTGAAAGGTCATAGCATAATGTGGGGTGGAGGAGTGGGGTAGGTACCCCAGGTGCTGCTTAGAGGAGGGGCACCAGAAGGATGGGGCAAGGGAGCAAAGAAAAGTGGAGTGAAATTTTCTCCTCTGGTAGCAGCAAGCTCCACTGCTACTCTAGAGAACGATGATTCCTTGAGTGCCCTCTGCTCTGCTCGCCGCTGCTGTTCCTGCACCTGCGAGCGAGAAGGTAGAAAGAATGAGGGGGGAGGAGAGGCCACTACCCCAGGTGCATTTTTCCATGCTATGCATCTGGATAATAATTCTGCTGTACCCTTTGTTTTCCCACCAGAGCTAGGCTTTTCAATTGTACGTGGCTGTTAATGAGTATCGGATTCACCTGGGCACCAAAATTCACTTCCTTAACACCGAAGGGACGATGCAGTTGAGACAGACAGTTATAGCGGAAGTGTATGATCCAGGTGATGCATGCAATGGAGACTGCATTTTTTTCCACAAAGTTAAATTGAGACATGGACATAGCCCTCAAACTGTCACTGTTATTACAGGAGGACAACAAGGCTCCAGCTAGGATGGGGGCTCCACTGTAACAACACTCTGGTAGATATAGGCCATGAATTGAAGAGCTTTATTTCCTTTATCTTTTAGCTCCAGGATCGCTCACATGTAGTGAAACACAAAGGCTTTGTAGCAGTGGCAGAAAGAATTAAAACCAATGCCATATGTAAGGTAGAGAGATGAAAATACTAAAATATAGCCCGTTTTTGGTTTTTATATCTTTTACCTTTTAAATAAGAAGAAAAACAATTTCTCCTCTAAAACTTTTGGTTACAAGCTTCAAATAAGAAAACTGGCAGGGAGTAGTAATTACATCCAAGCATTCCCCCCCCTCCAGTTGCATTAATGATCTGTCATTTAAATTTTATTTCAGGTTTTATTTAAAATGCTATTTTATGCAGCCCTGTTTGCATTTCACACACTTGCCAGTTTTCTCAGAGTTTAGCTGAATATTAGTCACATTGCTGTTACCAGTGAACAAGAACAGCTTCCCTGCCTCTACAGAGATAAAAGCTTCATAAACTTCCCCTACGGTTACAGACTGCTGGCATTTAAGAATGGCTTTAAAATGGCTGCTGAATCCGTCAGCAGCCTGTGAAATATGACATAATAAACCAAATTCACCATGTTTATCATGTAAAATTAACTGTATCTTGGTTTAATTTTCTTAATATTAAATTCCCTGCAGTATATTCACCAATTTAAAACAGTGAATCCATAAATGAATTAAGATTGTGAATATTGAGCAGGACTTTAGGAGAGACTACAGAGCTATTATAATCTACTTTTATGAGATTTTTCACAAACATAAATGTCTAATTCAGTGCAACTGTTTGTTTCACTAGTCCCTGATTTATATTATCCTTAAATTGAAAGGAAAAAATCACCAGTAAAGAATAAAAGAATTGCTATGGAAGTCTTTGTTACCAAGTAAAAAAACTGAGCATTGTATATCTTTAAGTAACTCTGGTCTAACTTCATGAGTCTGATCTTCTTAGTTAGCCCAGCTACTATGGAAAAATCATGGTTTAAACTTCTTTTAATACTTTTATTACCATTTCTCCAAAGACATTAAGTCAAATACATGTAGGCAGTTGAATTAATTTATAGGTGGCTGACCATCAAATAAATAAGAAAGGTAAGTCTCTTGTTTGATATTGTATCAGTTAGTGAGCTGCTGGATGAACTTTGCTGTTCGACTCTTAATAATTAAGACTTCATTTAAAGAATCTCCCCTCCTCTCCCCCTCCACTGCCTATTTTTCTTTATTCTGGGAGAACATACGTTTTTGCTTAACATTTTGTGATTTTAAAGTCACAGGAGGGTTCCTTACATTCATATTAAAGCCAAGTCTTGGGCAGCGGTAAATTTCAAAGTACATTTCAGACACCTTAGCTTCAAATTTGCTTTATGTAAAAACTCTCTTTTGACTTTTTAATAGCTGTACATTATAGTTTATGGTACATTTCTTCCTGTCCCAGTTTTGCATACAGATGGAACAGTTATGAATCTAGTTTGAGGCTGATCCCTTTTTTTGCATTCTGTTCTGTGATTGATCTGATCAACAAAAAAGAATTTCTTTCAGGCCATCCATCACTCCTGGCGCCAGCTGAGCTAAACCCCTAACTTGCTGCTACAGCCAGTCATGCAAGATTCCTGTCATAAATACTGAATGTGCAAACAACTGTTTAAATTAGCTGTCTTGTCTGTTTTAAAGAAATTTAAGTGGAAATATAGGCTCATATTTTGTTCAGTAGCATGAGATTTGAAGATACAAATTTAAGGTATCATTACATTTAAGAATCAACATATTGGCCTGTCGGGCAAATACTTGAAATAGGTTTGAGATTAAAAAAATGTTTAATCAGGCATAATGAAATTAGAACTAAGGTAGCAGAGCATGTAATTTATGCAGCTTTTTTTTGAAGCAAATAATAGCAAGACTGTTAATAATACTGGATACAGCCATCTGCTGTAAATATAGTAGCCAATTCATAAACACTCAGTTTTATGAATTTTGCTACCTTTTTGAGAAAAACAAAAGTAGTTCACTGTTTGGAAAATATTTGGGCATGAAAGAAAACAGCATCTGCCTTGCATTGGCATTCTTGGTAAATCCTCCAGAATATGGGGTATGTGCAGGTGCTAGTACTTCTGCTGCCTGGAGTCTTACCAAGTGTACACACATTCATTCTTGTTGAAGTACTAACCATGATGCCAGTCATTTGTCATCATTTATATCCAACTCAATCTTATTCTACGTGTCAGGTATTACGCAAGCTGTGAAAATAAAAATAAAAAATCCTATTATACCAAGCTCTATAGCAAATAAGTAGACATCTTCATGTGAGAAAATGGGTCTGTAAAATGCACAGCGCAGTTAGAGTAGAAAGGTCTTGAGGAATGAGCACAACTCGAGAAGCCTTGGAGTTCTGATTCTGGTTGTGTTACTGACTTGTATGACCTTAGGCAAGCCACATTGCCTGTTTGCCCCTGGTCTCTCATCTGTATTTTGAGAATAATGATTATAAGTTTGCCCTGCAGGGGTGATGAGAGCTAACTAACTCATACTTTTGTGATGTGTTGAAACATATGAAGTGCTATAAAGAGCAGTAATAACAGGAACTTAAAAAGAATCTATTAAAAGATTTTTTTAAAGGACGGTCAGCCTCTGTGAATGTTCAGGATGGTATATGTTGGTAAGATGTGGTATGTCTCTCATTGAGTCTGTCACCCTTTATCAAAGGTCAGCTTAGAGAGAGAGCCTGCTCACCAAAAAAAAAAAAAGAAGAATACTTTTTCTTTCTAGTTTCAATCTAGACATGTAGATTGACTGCACAGAAGATCTTTGTTCAGACTACCTGACTTCTGTGTAGTACTTGTGACTCATGGATCTCAAAATATATTTCAGAGGAGGGCCATGAATCATCCTTGCATTTCCAGATGGGGAAACTGAGGCACAGAGCAATTAAATTGACTTGTCCAAGCTCACCCACCTATTCCCAGAGCCAAGAACAGAATCCAAGTCTTCTGAATCAGAGTCTTATGCTCTTGCTAGGCCAAACTTCTTAGTGTCTCAGCCTCAAAGTGTAGTTGTCTAAAGATATAGTGTTTAACATGAACACTGAAGAACGCTTATTTGTTAGTATATATACCTATCCAGTTTCATACTGATTAGGCGTGTGCCATGTGTTGCTTATGTGTACAGCTGCACATTTTATTTTACACAAACATTTAACAAAAGCTAGTTTTCATCTTGCACCCTATTTAAGTAATTATCATAAGTCATTTCCTGGGGATAAATAGCAATGCCCCTCCAGAAGCTCAGATTTCATTAGAGACCATCTCCAATACATACCTATTTAGGGAGTTTTTTGTTGCCTATTAACAGTCAGAAGAATGTGGTAAAGATAATATCCCACTTTCTCCTGAAAGACACTGTCTAGATCACTGGGAGATGCTTCTCCACTACAAAGAACCCTGCCAATGTCTGCAAAACTCAAAACACTGAGTCTGTCTAACTCATGCTTCTGCCATCAGCTGTATTCTGTACCATCTTGCTGGCTTGAATATGATGGTGATGGCAGCCTGTATCATCCACTGGGAAGCTAGCTGTGCTCTTTTGTCCCACAAAATATTTTTACCTCCCCTACTAGGGTCCAGCTAGCAACATGCTTATCAACATACTTGATCTGTCAACAGTGGGCTGCAGTCTCTGGACTTCTCCCCAAACTGGGGATTCACTTACCACTGGCTATCATAAAGTCCAACAGTTGTTAATCATTATTCTGCAATACCACAGGAATCATTGGTTAGTGAATAAGTAAATATAGTCTGCAGGAAAATAATTCTTTAAGTTACATTTCAACTATTGCAATTAATCCTGTGCCTTTCACTTTGTCAGGATGTAAGTTTTCTTACCCCTCCTCTGGCATAGGAAGAAGCCTTTATTGTGGAAAAGAGGTTGAAATAAGAACTGCCTGTCCAAAAAAAAACTTGTGGAAAGCAGCCCTTAATCTTAAACTCTGTCTCCTCTTATTGTGCATTTGTGTTTTGAATATCTAAATTTTAGAGCTAAGAATGTTTCCTTGTCTTAGACGGCATATATGATGCATCTAAAAGTGTGTAACATAATAAACTGTGCTTCTTGCAGTACACTGTCTGACTTCTAATGTGAAACATTACCTACCAGTCGTGCTGTTGCAGTGGTTCTATAGCTGCCCCACACACCGGAGAGCCACCTGGAGTCTGAGCTGAGGGAGTTTTAATGCAGTATGTCTGAAAAGTTAGAAGATGACTTCTGTACATATGGTGAAGTAGATGGAAATTTGTAGTATGAAAAAGAACCACCAGGCCAATAGGAGTTTAAACTCTTCACGGGCTGTGGACAATTAAAAACAAGTTTTAAAAAAATGTGGAAAGTAGTTGAAATAATACAAAAGAGAACCGATATCACCAGGTTTGGGGCATGGTGTGGCAGAATACGGAGATAAAACATACTGTGGATCCAAATTCACAGCCTTTCACACTCTTATCTAGTTTTACAACTTTAGAATTTCCTGGCTTTTGAACTTCTTATAGACAGAACTGTCTACAGGTATTTTCTGAAATAATAGATGGGTTTAAGTATTTAATGTGAATTAAATTAACTTGATGAATTTACTTGAATTGTTTAATAACCTAGTTAACTTTTCCCACTTATAATGATGGGATAAATTATTCATCTTTGCTATAAAGACAGCATTTTTCAGATATAGGGCAACAAAAGTATGAAGCATGATTAACCTCTTAAACTTAGACTGGCCTTATAAATCTTGCTGGAATTAGCATGTATTTTCTGATGCTTTTACTTTTGACAGAATGGAAGATTTTAGGTACAGACTAACAGCAATTTTTTAACAGATTTAGCCAGTGAGCAACATTTGAAATTTAAAACTTTATAACTGACAATAGTATGCATCTTATTCTTTGATTATTTTCTGAAATAAAAACGAAATGTGGAAATGGGACTATTTAGAAGATTTGAGTACACTTATTTCTGTAATTTATGGAAAGGGATTAACTCTTACATTTGCAAGTAATATAAGCATTAAGAAAATCTCTTCCAGTTGTCCCGTTCATTAGAGCAGTGATGCCACTCTAGTCATGTAGAAAGCAGTTATTTAAAATGAACACCTTGCAGGTTGTCTTGCTAGCTGGGTATCAAAGCAAATTCATGCAAGTTTTTATGGAATTAATAATAAAGTGTACACTCCCAGCTAAAAACTGAGCCTCCATTTTGATTAGTATGTAGTCCTAAGGAAGATGAACATTTTTTTTCTCCTACTCCGAATTCATTTCTTAGCTTCTGTCTGGAAATACCTTTTAATCCTTGGCATTTGATCGCATTCAGTCTTCCCTTGTCTGCGATTCTGTTCAAATGTTGCATTTTTATGAGGTGTTCTTAAATCAATGATCATCTGGTTCTTTTAGTATTTATACAAAACTGAAAACTAGTGCTAGTACTGAAGGGTTTCAGTGGTGGGGAGAAGTCTTGTTTCCTGGCAATAGAATATACCTGTTGTGGAGGAGGCTTTCCTGAGCAACAGAGGAATGAAGACTGCTTTGTGCAGCTGAACCTCTTAACATCCTCCTTAGGAACAGTTGTCATCAGGGTAAAACTAGTGGCTGCAAGGTAATGAATGCCCCTTGTCATTGCAGTAAGACTAATACAGGTAGAGCAGATAGAAGGTTGAAAGGGCACACAAGGAAAATATATATATATTTAAAATACAAAAGGCAGGTTGAAGATATGAGAGATTAGTCTACTTTTCGAGTATCCTGGAAAAGAAAATGCTAACAGGCAGCATTACAGTTCTGCCTACAACGGAGCAGGGAGGCAAAAGGCATCGTCACGCAAGGTCAGTATGAAGGAGCTGACACTCACATTTAGCCTATTTCATCCATACCTAAGGCATCTTGATGTCAACTCTGTGTGAACCCTGTCTTTCTAGTTTTCCCAGGAGATAAATTGATAGATTCATTTTGTAAGTATTTCTCTTTAAGGTGGGTTTGGGTTGGTTTGGTTTTTTAATTCCTTGTATTAAAGTGCCCTTGCTAGGCTCTGAAAAGATTCCCACTTAGTCGTCTTCCTCCAAGGCTGTCTCCTGAGGCCTGGACACGATGCAGAGGCACTGTTACGTTCAGCTGTTAGGATATAACCACTTTGTGAAAGCGTGATAAGGGGCAGAGCTTTACTGCAACTGCCCACGTTTGTGCTTGTACCCTAGCATAAATGAATGAAAGCTGCGGTAACTTGGCCACTCGATACCTACGGAGTTGATCAGTAGAGGCTGCTTCAGCATCTGAGTGTAGCCCTTTGTACCCTGAGGTATGCCCTCGAGAGCTGGAATACCCATTCCTCAAGTTCTGCTACTGAGATGGGTTCCTTGTCAGAAAATTCACGCACCCGTGCGTCATCTCCTCCGTGTCTTTAGGCAAATAAGCCAGGCCCCAGTCTTCCATGACAGATTTACTTTGTGGTCCCCATAGGGAGACCAGCTATCTCTGTTCCCAGTTTCCAGGTCTAACCCTCTCTTTTCCTTTCACCTCCAGTTTCTTCAGAAAAGCAGAGTAATTTCATCTACTTCTGAATTTATCCTTTGAATTTCAGGCTTTTTGCATAATTTAATATTAATCTTCTCTTTGAAAGGGTAACAGCCTAGACAACAAAAGATCAGTGCAACTTGCAGTGTAAATGCACAAGCCTCTCTGTAGCCATGGGCCCTAAGCTCTGAGTCCCGCAGTGCACGTGCCTGTCCGTGACCGCAGTAGGTGAGAACTTGGGCCTTGCCCTCAGTCATGTAACTGAGTGGGGTCAGCTCGGTTATCCCTTCGCTTCGTTCCCTTAAAAGGCTGGCCTTGCATAAAACTCCCAAACTAAGATTAAATTGAGCACAATAATTAAAAAAAGTGACTAATTGACTTAAGCCAACACCTGAACCTTCACCCTTTGTTACCCCAAATAATCTTTTTGCAGGTAAAATAGAGTAGATTTTTAGGTCGCATTGACCCTCAGCCCTGAAAGGAATTGAGATTGGAAGAAGTTCTTTTGAGATTTTAATTAACCTACTTTCTGCTGTTTACTGTCTCTGACTGAAGTGTTAGCCTAGCAGAAATTTCATGGTCTGCTTTGCTTCTGAGTTTGAAGAGGCAATGCTCGTAATTCTTCATAATTAGACTTCCCTGAACATTTTATTTCTTTTCTATCTCAGTAAGAATTGTTGACAGATTAAAACCTGTCTTGCCCTCCCTTAGGCAGTTCACAAACCTTACAGACAGTTTAGACTCTCAAAATTTATGTACTGGTCCAATTTAGTTATAATGTTACTATTTCACCACTTTCTGCTGCGTTCTTGGCAAGATGGGTTGTGTGTGTTCCCTTTCTTCATTATGCACCTTCTCACTGCATACTTTTGAAAGAGATTATCATTGTAATAGCTGTAGATGACAACTCCCCACTTCTTGGCCATCTGGCCCTCCAGGTGTGACCAGTTTCCCAATGTTTTAGGATGCTTATTCAGCACCAATATCCTCATTACCATCCTCCCTTTCTCAGCTTGGAATATATCTTTATCTACATATTAAGTGGTTTCTTTGCTTTACTTCCAGCTTACAATAGAATTCTCTCCATGGGAAGTGATCTTATTTGAGACAGTTATACAATTATTCTGACAGCTCTGAATCCCTTTATTATATCATCTTAGTATAAGTGACTGTAAAATGCTATGGGATACTCCCCAAGATATGGCATGGGCAAGAGAAAAACCAATTTCTGTTGCTCTTTCAGTGGGGACGGGGGCGTGTTTGTGTGTGTGCGTACCCAAACTCAACTTTTACCTCTTTGTCCCTGCCACAAATCTTGACAATTAGGTTTAGGAATCTGAAGACCAAAATATCTTTCACACACAAAAGGAAATTCTTGTGAATCCGGCTTAACATTATCCTGTCCTAATTTCCAAAATTAATGGAAAACAACTATTTGTTACAAAAGGCGCAAGGCATTGACATTGGGCTATTTACATGTACATTGCCAAATGAAAATTTTAAGTGTGCATTTAAAAATTATTTATTATAACCCTGCTGGCAGCAATCTAGAGTTTCTAGCAGGTCTTTTTCACCAACACTTGTTTTGTATCATATATGTATAACATTAGAGAGCACTGAAAATGGAAAACACTGCCAAGCTTGTTAGTACCTATTAACTACTGCTTAATTAGGATGAAAAAAGAGTTTAGTTTGGTTTAAGTCTATGGTCTGTAAACCTTTCACGTCTCCATTTGTATTAAGCATATAGTGGATAAAAATAAAACATGTTTGACAATAACTGATGCACCAATTTGGACAGCATAAATTAAAACTTGGGATATGAGTTGTAGTGGAGATGATTTGGAGAGTGACATCAGGAAGTTTAGTGGGAGAATTTCACAGTAGCTCTGAGCACACACTTCACCTCCTGACTGCACATGGCAGCGCTGACCACGCCGCCTTTCCTAAAAAGATCCAAGTTTTTGCAATCCAAAGGGAGTCCCTTTATTACTGCACAGAGCTCAGTGTATGAAACATGAGTCATCCCTAGCTGAAGGGGAAGCCCCTCTCTCAGGAGTGGAAATGGATGCTAGGTTCGAGTCTGGGCCATAAAGAACCAGGGAAGGTGAGACTGAAAGGCCAAGATCTCAGAGCAGAAGGCACCCAGGCTCCCCTTTGCCCTGGAACCCACTCCTAGGCTGGCATCAGGAGACTCACTCAGAGACCAGACAAAGCCACAGCAGTCCAGAGCAACCACCCCCCTGTGACAGTTGCCTCTGTAGCGGGGCATCTCTATCGCTTGTATGATCATAATACTGTTCCCATGAACTGCCACGATCAGTTCTCGCCTTGCTTTTTTTACCTTGGCTGCTAATAGAATGATAGAATGGCTTTAAAGTGCTATTGCCTACCTTCCAATAACCTCATTTTGGCAGAGACTATCCTTGATTTCACGACTACTCCTGCCCATGTCCCAGGCAATGCTGGCTGCTATGGTTGGCTGGAGATTTCTGTGAGGGGGCTGATTGGTTTTTGGTTTGTGGTGGGGTTTTTCCCCCTCTGCTTATTAAATAAAGCTTCAGATGTTGTTTCTAGAGGAGTTTGAAGCCAGAATAAAAAGGAGTCATATTAAAATATTTTGGAGTCTTTTACCATACTGTAGAAAATACTTTATCATCTGCAACCATTCAAACCCTTACCTGCTTTGAAAATTCTCTCTGCAGAACATTAACAAATACTGGTCATTGTTTGCCATAAAAGATTTAAAGACCTCTTATAATGACGGCCCTAGCTATATTGAACACCTTCCTCTGCCCCTACCTCATCGCCCATTCTTGAGAACTCTCTGCTCTGTTTTTACCGCCGTCTTTATGACCCTACTGTCATTTTTGACACTGGCAGATGATTGTCCTAGTGTTTCCTAGGCCACTCAATTGTGGAGCTCATTTCACCTCAAGGCATCTGTTACTGTCCAGGTCTTGCTTCATTTGAAGAAAGAGGAAAAAATGCAAATATGCCTTTAATTCATGTGACTATTTCTGAATAAACACTGGCCTCACATCCATCAGCCTTAACCCCTTTATTACTTAATGCTATTAAATGGTTCAGTGAGTTTTATGTTAGTTTCTGAAGTACTCATAAAAATCAGCATTTAGCTTGTGCACCTGTGCGTGGATGAGTGCTTTATAAATTAAATGATTCTTGTTTGTTTGCCCTCTGCCTGTGAATTTAGATGGAATCTCATGCAATAGCACAGTCTTTCCCCACAGTTATTTCATAGCCCTTGTTTGGCCAAAGTGGTCCGTCAACCTTATATCCTGCTCACACTACAGATTATTAGGGTCAGTGTTACAGACAGTACAAATGTGTATGCTCTAAACACTATCGGACAGTCCCAAGAGGATTCAGCATGACAGGTGTTCATTCATCATTCTC